GCCCTGCTCTCTGTTCTGCTCTGTGTCCTGCTCTGTGTGTGCTGCCCTGCTCTCTGTCCTGCTCTGTGTGTCCTGCTCTGTGTGTGCTGCCCTGCTCTCTGTTCTGCTCTGTGTCCTGCTCTGTGTGTGCTGCCCCACTCTGTGTTCCACTCTGTGTGTGCTGTTCTGCTCTGTGTCCCGCTCTGTGTGTGCTGCCCCGCTCTGTGTGTGCTGTCCTGGTTTCTCATTTGCTTGTTTATTCTCAAGACCAGATTTCACCTTGCAGCCCTGGCTGACCTAGAACTCAAGGAGACCCGTCTGCCTCTCTGAGGTGTAGTGTTGGAGATGCTCACTACTGTGCCTAGCTTCATTACGTCTTGAGACAGGCAATCGCTGACTCCCGTTGACTCTCTGGTCAGGGAGCCCCTGTCTCCTCGTTCCCAGAGCTGGGATTGCTGGCGCCAGCACGCCTGGCCGTTTACGTGGCTGCCAGGGTCTGAACTCAGGTCTTCATGTTTGCACAGCGGGCACTTCTCATCCCCGTCCTGTTTGGGTTTTGTGTGTCTGTTTACATATCTGTAACCCAGGAGATCCATGACTCAGCACAGTGACTCACTAGTGTCACGCCACTTGTGGGCGTCCTCTGGCTCCCTTCTAGGCCCACCGTGGCATGGTATGTGTGGAGTCCTCTCTTGCTGGTGGAGTCGTGGGTACAGGGCTCCCTAAGGTGAGGAACCAGCTCACTGTAACCAGAGTAGATGCAGCTGGCCACGGCGTTTGTGGTAAGGCGCCCCTCCAGAGTGGTCAGCCAGCCTCTGCTCTGAACCTTGCCCTCAGCTGCCTGGCTGTGAGAGGGAGCGCTTCCACATCTTTCTTTCTGAGAAACCTGCCTCCACACTGACCTTTCCAGAGCCGCTTAGCTAAATTCCAGGGAGTCTGAGAGACTCAGGCCGTAAGAATGGCTTGCAGAGCACAGGCGTGCGTGAGGGCGGACTCACGAGGTCAGCTGGTGGAGCAGGAAGTGAGGTGAGCGTGCTCAGCACTCCTGTGTGCAGGGCCCTCTCACCTTCCTCCTCCCAACTCTGCTCTGCAGTGAGGATCCTAGGGATGGGAGAGGTTAGGAAGCTCCCCAGAGAGACACAGCAAAAGATACACCCACATTCTCGCATCGGCCCCTTGGTCACATCCTGGCCACTCTCGGTGCAGTGTGAAGGGGAAGGAAATCCACAGCTTCAGTTCACCTGATGAAACACAAAAGGAAAACCCATGTTCCCCCAGACCCTGGCCTTAGGACATGCTAAACGCTTATTTATCTATAAACTTTACAGTCCACAGAATTCATTCTCCATGGCTCATGGTGCCATAAAATGTGTTGCACAGTTTCATGCTCTGTGACATCCAGCTGCCCCATTGGCCTGATGGCGTCCATTGTGCAGCACACCAGCCATGCCCCACTCAGCGGGCACCAAGTGCAAAGGTCACCATGTTTGTTCTTAGGCGGCCATGCTCCTGTTGGTTCTCCTTTTCTGGCTTCTTATGGTTCAAGAAAAAAATCTCCGT